TTTAAGGGAAGGATTTAAGGGTGAGCCCTTCCATGGATTTCACACTAATTTCTGCCTCAAACCTTTTGCACATGCTGAAATGCCAGCAGAAAAGGAAGGCTGTCTTCTCTTCTCTTCATTCAGGGACAAGTTCAACACCCATCTCTTCCAATAAACCTTCCATGATCACTCTAGCCCAAACACATTTTTCTTTCTGAACTCCTAAAACAATTACTATCTTTACTAACCTTTTGGAGACACTTAATCAAATATGTTTTTGTCCTTCCATTTAACTTTTTCCTGGGTATGTTTCATCTCCCCAGTGAGACTGTAAACTCCTTGAAGGTCAACAGGCAGCATATAGAAGGACCTTGTTGAATTACATTTACTCTGGTTACTTTTTTCTACTTTCCAAAATTATCAAGAACAAACTTCCTTTAAGGCTGAATGTCCCACAAGTACCTACCAATGGGTTACTTTTTAGATTATTCTTCCTGGAAGGTCAGAGGTAAATTGACTTTTGTATTACCAATAGTTCTCTTTCAAAGTGTGTTGATAACTTTATTAGTTTTGAATGAACTGAAACATTTTCTGTGTTTACTGGACAGAGCTATCTACAAATGTGCAGGTTTCTACACATGGGTTGAAATTTCTACTTAGACAGGTGTCCAATCTTGGGTATTTCCTGCTATAACCCATAAAAATTCAATTTCCTGGGGAAACCACTGGGGATTCATAGCCCTGGAGGTTGGATTACTCTCTAATGAATCGGTCCCCTTCCCTGACATTAATTGCTACTCTGAGGTCTCAGTCAGTTTGGTAACCCCACCCCATAAACATAAAGGAGAGAAGGGCTCTCAGGGTTGTTAGGAAAGGCTTCGAATCTTCTCTTGGTAATTTGAACCTAATTGTGGAAGGAAGATTTTTCTCCAGCTAACCTGAGGTCAGTGAAAAAAACAAAGGTTGCCTGACTCTAGACTCAAGCTTCAGGGAGACTGCGCGGCAGCTGATCTCACAGACCAAGATGCAACCAAGATGTCCCAGGGGTACCATTTCCCTGAAACATAACACTGCTTGTGTATGGCTTTTGTTATTTCACCTGGTCATTAATCCAGGAATCAAAAAATATCTTGCCATTTGGTAGCAAGGGGAAATAATAAAACTGAATCTTCTACAATGATGTCTTGAGATGCTCAGAGAGCTCATCCTCTCTTCTTCAAGGTCTAACAAATTTGGATGAGTTTTATATTTATGCTTTTGTCTTCACATCACAGTCATTTACTCAGATATAGCATCACCACACTACCAGAGTATTGAATCTTCCATTATGGCAGAGACACTGAAGAAAAAACAATATGGTGACCATTTCTAACTACACATACAGAAATCTATCCTCATCCCTTCCCTTTCCCTCCCCTCAACTTCTAACCAAAGACAACTAGGAAGGCAGGTATGTTTCACTATCCATTCTCTGGGACCAAGATTTTTCATTACAATTATTTAAAATTCAACTTCTTAGTGTATTATCTATTTACATTATTATAGTCATTGAGTATATTGGCATGTTGGTTCTGCAAACTTTATTCTGCCTTAATATATACAAATCTTCCCATGTGTCTTTGAATTCCTCATTTCAACATTTCTTAATGGGCAATAATATTTCACTATATTTATATACCATAACTTGTTCAATCATTCATTTTGTTTTAGTTCTTTAATATCATAGAAGTGCTTCTACAAAAAATATCAATACACACATAGAAATTGTATGTGTGGGGGCAGCCAGTTGGTGCAGTGGATAGAGCTCCACCTTGGAGTCAGGAAGACCTGAATTCAAATCCAACATCAGACACTTGACACCTACTACATGTATGAGCCTGGGCAAGTCACTTAACTCTGATTGCCTCACCAAAAAGCAAAAAAAAAAAAAAAAAGGAAGACACTGGCAAGTCACTTAACCCTGATTTTCTAATCAAAAAGAAAAAGAAAAAGAAGAGAAAGAAAAGAAATTATGTGTGTATGTATGTATGTGTGTGTGTGTGTGTGTGTGTGTGTGTGTGTGATACATACAGACACATACACTAATGCATCTACAGATATATGATGGGCAGCTAGGAGGCACAGTGGATAGAGCTCTGGTCTTGGAGTCAGGAGGATTTGAGTTCAAATCCAGCCTCAGGCACTTACTAGCTGTGTAACCTTGGTCACTTAATGCTGTTTGTCTCAGTTCCTCATCTGTAAAATGAGCTGGAGAAGGAAATGGCAAACCATACCAGTATCTTTGCCAAGAAAACCCCACATGGGGTCACAGTCAGACATGACTGAAACAACTTAACAACAACAGATATATGATATATATGTATGAGATCATATATCTATATATGTATATAAAATTTCTATATATGTATTGATATGTTCATATCAATATAAATATAAGATCACCTATCTACAAATGTATCTGTAGACATGTATGTATACATATACATATATATGTGTGTAAATATTTATACATATTTGTGCACAGATGGTGTGGTAGATAGCCAGGCCTGAAGTCATGAAGACTTGAGTTCAAATCTGGCCTCACACAGCAGCTGTGTGTCCCTGGGCAAGTCACTAACCCTGAATGGCAAACTATTCCAGTATCTTTGCCAAGAAAACCCCAGATAGGGTAATGAAGAGTCAGACATAACTGAACAACAAGACCTATAAGTATGTATACACATTTGTAGATATTTGTATATTTACAGTCTTTCTGCCCTTGACCTTCTTTCGGTATATGCCCAAGTGTGGGGTCATGGGTCATTTGGTTTTTGTCACATAATTCTTTACTGATATCTAAAACAGTAAAATCTCTGAGGCTACGCAGTTTCCTTTTTGCCTGTCAGATTGCCTTCATCTGCTCTGTATGCATGCCCATACACCCCTCTGTCTGAGTCTGTGTATATTGTGATCCTAGTTATTTCTATCACCACCTCCCACCTTAGAAAGCAAGCTACTTAAAGGCAGGAACTTTAAAGAAAAAACTTTTTTTTAAAGCTTTCTTCCTCTCCCTAGCACCTAACACAGGCCCTGTACACAGTAAATGTTTAATAAATACTTATCGACTGACTGTATCCCTAGCATAATGCCTAGCTTGGGAGTAGATCCTTAATAAACATTTGTTGAATGAACACTTAGACTCATTCACAAGTACAGAACACTGTACTTTTCACTCACTCATTTCATAAGTGTTTATTAAGTACCTACTAGGTACCAGGCACTGCTAGGTTCTGGGCTATGAAGATAAAAACAAATCAAAACTGTCCTTGTCCTCAAAGAGCTTCTATTCTATTAGTGTGCCTATCCAGGTTGACTATTTCTAATTTTTATCATTTTTGCCTTTGCTAGGTGTGAATTGAAACTTAAAGTTCCTTTAATTTTGTTTCTGCTATGAGTTGATTTTGAACATTTTTTCTCCATGTGGACATCAGTAATGATAATGATAGCTAGCATTTAAATAGTGCTTTAAGGTTTGCAAAGTGTTTTATCAGCTTAATTCATTTTATACTCACAACAACACCAGGAGGTAGTTGTTATTATTATCCTTATTTTAAAAATGAGGAATCAAAGGCAGATAGCTCTTAAATGACTTGTCCAGGGTTATACTTTGGTAGTTTTCAATTTGTCTCATGAAAACTGTTCACAACTTTTGGTGCTATCAGGGAATGGCTCTTGGTCATGTATTTCTATCAATTTTTCATATATTTTGGTTGTCAAACTCTTGTTGATGTTATTTGATGCAAATATTCATTCTCAGTGGTTTCTTTTCTTATGCATTGATGTTGTTTGTGCAAAAGCTTTTTAATTTTGTTATAAAAATTGGCCATTTTGACTTTTTTGATCTCTTTTGTTGCTTGTTTAGTTAAGCATTCTCCCCTTAAGCATGGTGAAAAGGACCACCTTCTGTTTTACTCTATTTGTGTGTGTATTTGTATGTTTATCTTTTATATTGGGGTTGCATATCCATTTGGCTTTTATTGTGGTATGTGGTGTAAATACTTATCTCAACCTAATTGCTGCCAAACTGCTTTACAGTTTCCCTAGCAATTTTGATCAAATGGGGTGTCCTTACCACAATAGATTATGTTCTCAGGTTTACCAAACATTGAGTACTGTTTTCAATTATTTCTGGTTCTCACTTATGTAATCTGTTCCACTGGTTTCCTTTTCTGTTTTGTTAGCTAGGACCAAACAGTTTTGATGATTGATACTTTATACTCTTGTTTGCAATCAGATTATGTTATACTCCATTCCTATTTTTTTTTCATTATATCTCTTGAGATTCTAGACATTCTGTTCATCCAAATAAATTTTGTTATTATTTTTGTATGGCTCTATAAAGTATCCCCTTTGTAGTATGATTTGTAAGTTAATTTAAATATGTCATTTGTATTATATTGGTGTGGTCCAATCATGAGCACTGAATAGCTCTTCAATTATTTATTATTCTTTATTTTTGTAAGAGAGAATTTTGTAGTCTAGTTCATAGATATAAAACTGGGCGGAAACTAAGAGATCATCAAAGGCAGAGGTTCTTAACCTGAGGACCATTAATTTTTAAAAAAATACATATTAATTACTATTTCAATATAATTGATTTCCTTTGTGATCCTATTTATTTTATTTTATACATTCAAAAACTATTCTGAGAAATCCACAGGTTTTACCAGACTGCCAACAGGGTCCATGATAAATAAAAAGTTTAAGAACACTGATTTAAAGCTATTTCCTCATTTTATAGATAAGAACACTAAAGCCCAAGTAATCTAAATTACTTGCTAAGAGTTTCATAGTAATTAAGTGTTAGAAACCTAGTTCTGTGGCATCAAGTACTAGATTGTTCCACTATATCTACTCTATTAAGAAGGATTTCCTTGGCATTGGACTCTGGGCTCGTCTATGGTCCTTGAGAACATTCTGGACCCCTGATCCAGTGTGTTAACAAAACCAAAACACCAAAAAATACTCATTTCATTCCCAACCTTTGAGATTCCTGGAATGATAAAGCATACTCCTTTGTAGCTTCCTTCTGCATGAACATCCTTGGCTTCTTGGAATACCAACTTTATTATGGTGGTGGTGGCGCCCTGGACAAAAATTATGAAGTAGGTGAAATCAGGTCTCTGCTTTCACTAGCCTCTATTTTTGTGTTTGTTCCCCCTCCTCTTTTTTCTGCTTTCTCTTCCTCTGCCCTCCTTAAAGTAGAGCATTGTTGTGTTCTCTGGACCTACTTCCATTCTCTATCAAAACCTTCATTCAAATTCTTCATTTCACATTAAGGTATAAATGAATGATAATAGTTGAAAGTGTTACTTAACCATGTCAACATTTTTTCTGCCTTTTTTCAAATCAAAGAAATTAAGCAGAATTGCAGGTTTCAATCTCAATAATGTATGTACTTACTACAACTATTTAAAAATAACAAGAATAGAAATAAAATCAGAAGAAAAATTATAAAGAAGAAAATGGATCAGAAAGGGACACAGAAATAAGTGAGACAGATTTGTTATTATTTTGACAAACTTACTGTAAACATTTTTTTTAAAAAAATCATAAATACTTTGGAGTTTATGGTTCTATTATGAGCATTTTAAATTTTTTTTATTTAAATGTTTATTTTTATCTATGATTAGTAAGCTTGGAATTTTAAAATTCTACTCTTATTCCTCCCAAAAAATATGAGTTTCAATTCTCAAGGCCCTGTCACCATCATTGTTGTTGTTTGTCTTATACCATGACATCAGGAAGGTGATGCCACGACTTGCAAGTGAATTGGATTTAAGTGAGGGAGGGCTGTGCAAAGTCACCAGCCTCACTTTCTCTTCCGGAGCCATCTGAGTCCAGTGGCCAGATATAGATCAGGACAACTGGAGATGGTCCCCTCTCAACGCCTTTGCCAATGAGTGAAAGAAAAGGAGTAAGGGAGAGAGAGAGAGGAGGGTAAGTCCATAAGTAGTTCTGGTAGGTCCAAGTACCTGCAAAACAAAATCATCTTACTCATCAGGGCAACACTACAGGCTAGCTCAGTGGTCCCAAACTTAAATGTCACGTTGACCATATTTCTGTCACTAATCTGTTTGCACTCCTACTATTTAAATCTTTGCTTTTCTTCCCAAAAATTTGTTAAAATAATTGTGTTGTCTTTTAACCAAAAAGCTATGTATATGACACAGGGGACTATAAGTAGCACTAAGTCCCCATGGACAGTGAGTTTATATCCTCTGTCTGAAATAAAGATCAAGAAATCTCATCGTCTCCATATTCTGCATGTGACTTTAAGGATACAATTAGTAAGTTTCTGTTAGTACCTATCCTTAGCATCATGGAAAATAATGGAATATTGGCAGCTTCTGCTATCCTTACACAGGGGAATAGTGTAAACATTAATTATCCATTAATTATTGTCAGTGAAGCAGTGAGCCCTGGAGAGATAAGTGTTACAGTAACACAAAGCAGAGAGGTAATGTCAGTAGTTACCCTCCCTCCTACTTAGAGCCCCAGAATAAATAGAAAATGAGGAATTTACAAAATTATTATTCTGAAACACATGCCTTTGGAGTTTTACATATAGGACCCCAGAGATTAAGAGATGTGTACCTCAGGGAAATTAATCTACCATGGACTTTAGACGATTTAGAAATCACCTATAGGACAAAACATATTGCAGTAAAAAGATTCCCCCGCCTCTAGACCTCAGTTCACATCCCGCCTCTAATGTCTATTACCTGTGTGACCATGGGAAGGTCACTTAACTTCCCTGAGTTGCCTCATCTATAAAATGAACATCTTAGTCTAGATGGCTTGTGAGGAGGTCACTTTTAGTTTTAGATATATAATGTTATTATCCTATTAATCAGTGAAGCAATTACTTACATTTTTACTAGGTACTAGTGAGACTGAGAGCAGGGCAGACACGAGAGAGAGTTTTAATGGGACATAAATAAACTAGACCAATCTGATTCAGCCTAGGTAGAAAATCTGAATCAACATATTTTAGGAGCCAAGTAGAGGAGTTCAGATGATTGGTGGTGGGGGTGGGGGAGTTGGAGAGGGCCAAGTGGGCAGGTATAACATGACTATTTAGAGGAGAAAAGATATATCCCAGAATTCAAAAAGGGAAATAGTCTATGGCTCATTTGCTCAAATAAAGAATATCTCTATCTATAAATAGTTAAGCTATATATATATTTAATACATATTAAGAAGGGTGCTATTCCCCTACAGAGAAAATAGAAGATATGTAATAAAATAATACTTGAACAGATAGTGGTTCTCAAGATAGAACACTTTTGATATGGCATTGGGCATTCATGCAAATCAAATATTTATTTCAGATTATTTTGGAGTGGAGGAGGCATATTAAAAGAGTGAATGATCATTTTCAAATAACCTTTCCTTTTCTTTTTTTTTCCCCATGCTTTCTCTTTCTCTCTTTTCTTCACTCCTACAATTTCAAATTAAGATTCTATGATGCTCAACAATCTACTCTTCCCTAACCTAAAACATTGTGGCTCCAAGAATTGTGCTGATTGGTCAAAGCTTCCTGGCTGTCACAAAGTGCCTTAGGTTGTCCACCTTTGTCACAGTAATTATATGGCTCTGCTGACCTGAGTGGGCATCATCACAAACATGATTTCATCTTTGCTTTGAGCTGAATAATCATCATGACAATTTCTTAACAAGGCATATTTCATACATTCTCTGGAAAAGAATGAATGGACTGTTGAATGGACTGTTGAGATCTGCAGAGAACCTATGTTGGGCCTTAAGGTGATTCATTTCACCCTGTGACCTTACCAGAAGTTCCTTTAAAAAAAAAATAAAAGGATTAATTTTCTATTTTGAATCCTTTCCTCTCTTTAAAACTTCATACAAATATCCTGCCACCATTTTGTGTGAGCTAAAAGCTGTGTCCCTATAGCAGCTGATGTGTGTATATCTGGGAATGACAGAATCATAGAATTATAGGGGAAAAGCAGGTCAATAGGGATCATTTGGCTGTCCTCTGAATTTCCAACAAGGACTATGCCTTAACAGAAGAGAAACAATTTCATCTTAAAAGACCTCTCCAAAGAGGTCCACACACTATGCTCCCCCTTTTATAATCCAGTCTACGGTTGAGTTTTTTGTCAGAATGGAAATATAATAAAAATTCCTTCACCTAAAGACTTTTCTTCAGTCTTCAGAAGCTTTGTTCAGGAATTTCCAACATGTCAGGGAAGGAGAAAAGATGCAAGCTTAATCTCCTAAACATTTCTAGGAAATAGGAAGCTCTATAGATTTTCAAATGGAAAATCTCATTTTCTATCATTTTGTCACACAGCCTACATGTTTCCTATCTTTTGTTTTGGTTTGTAGTATACCTTTCACTCAAAGCATACCGACTGAGTAGATATTTTGAATTAGAAAATCAGTCCTTTCACTCAAGGTGTACCAACTGAGTAGATATTTTGAATTAGAAAATCAGTCCCCTGGAAAAGCAGTTACAATATAATGGCAATAAAAGAACAAAGTATTCTCAGAGTCTTACCAAAATAGAGCTCAGAGTTATCCTTTGTCAGTTCAATATTTGAAAAATCATCTTCTTTGTTTGTGCTTTGGAACTGAACAATGGAAGGCCTGGTTAAGTAATAATTATTCAATTAAAAAAAACAAGGAGAGAGGTTATGGAATTGAACAAATCCGTGGTACAGAATGGATATTAAATTTATTTGTAATTTTAATTTTCAATGTACTTTTTATTTTCCCATTGCAGAACTAATAGCTTTTTCATAAAAGTACTCATTGACAAGAGCCAGAACATTGGCGCTAAATTGGGCCTGTGTATTGGTTATTTTCTTTGACATTTCATTCTCATGCATCTAAAATCCAATGCTATCAGCTTTTCTCCTAATGCTCTTCTGAACTTTCAAGGATATGAAAAAAAAACTAATTTATGTTGTGCTAAACATTTAAGGAGTAAAGATGAATCAATAGTTCAGTATGATTAAAGGAAAAAAGGAACATCAGTGAATTTGCTAAGAACAGGACCCTAAAGGGTCTCTAATATAATGGCGGTTACTGCACCATCAGGACCAATGTTGGCATATGGTTTTCCTGTCTTTTGAGAAATGGAAACATATGAAAGCATAAAGTTGTAGGTAGTGTGATCCAGAGTAAACAGTGTTGGTACTAGAATCAGAGGAACTGGCTTCATATTCTGCCTCTTCTACTTAATATGTGTATGCCCACATTTGCCCTTTCTGGGCCTACTCTCCTTATCTACAAAATGAAGAGTTGGACTAGATAAGCTCTAAGGGATCTTATCTTATTTGACTTCTGTTTTCAGAGATTTTACATTTTGAGAGATCTTACTGGGAAAACACTAGGGTTTTGTAGGATGTGTTCAAACAAAATTTATCAATAAAGTCTTTTGAAAGAAATGAAAAAGACCTTAAATAAATAGTATCTAATCTTTGAAAAATCAATTCTTCATTATGAATACCTCTAAAATTATCGACTATTAAAAAAGATCAAAATGAGAAAGATCAAGAAATGTTCTTTTTTTAGTGCAAAGAATGGGAAACTAAATAGATGCCTATCAATTGAAGAATGGCTAAGCAAATTCTAGTATATGATGAATAAAATAGAATATTATTGTGTTACAAATGATGAAACCGATAGTTTCAGAGAAAACTGGAGAGACGTGTATGAACTGATGTAGAGTGAAAGCAACATTTAAAAATAAAAACACAATGAGGGTGGGTGGGGAGGGAGGAAGGGAGAAAATTTGTAACCCAAAGTTTTAAAAACATATATTAAAAATAAAAAAATAAAACAAAATTTAAGAATTAAAAAAATTAAAAATAGAAACAACTTTGAAGCATTTGATTTTGCATTTACTCAATGCAATAACAACCATAATTCCAGAGGACCAAATATGGAGCATGACAGAGAAGTGATAGTCATGAGGTACAGAAAGAGACATACATTTTATATGTGGCTAATTTGGGGTTTTACCTTGCCTTGACTATGCAAATTTGTTACTGTGGTTTTATTTTTCTTTT